GTCTTTGTGCTTTCTTGCTTTCTCTCTGACTTGGTGTTTCTTTTCAATAGGGAAAAATCAATGTCTGCATACTCCACTTCTTGCGGAGCACCGCTGATTTCAGGCACGTCTTTCTCTGCTGCCACACTTTCATCTTCAACTTCTTCTTGTGGGTTGGACTGATTGTCTTGTGTTTCTTGACCATCATATATGTGCTAGGTACAACGTAAATGATACAAGTCAATTACCAGCCTCCAAAAACCCAGTATTGCAGATTAGATTGTGTCTAATCTGCAATACTGCAATACTAATGTCAAAATCATGTCATGCAGTTCTTTCTTCTGTGGGTTGAAAATCAGGTTGATTCGAACCTAAATTACTTTTTCACAATGCTTACACATTCCTTACATTTTTCCATTAAGTTTAAGTTGTGGTGACAGAAGACAGAAATCATGGTGCTGACTGTACTATAAGACATACTATCTAACAGAAACTTCAATTTATGCATTTTTTTTTTGGTAAAACTCCTAATTAAAGATGAAAGTCTATTACATTGATTGTTTGATTAAAAATCTGATGTGGCTGTGTACAGAGGCAAAACTACAGAAATTCTGTCTTTATCCAACAAATTATGGACTTATATGTGGTTCAGCATTCCTATGTTATAGTCCACAGTGTTTTCATGAAATAATCTTAATGAGAATAACTGGGATTATGTTGATTTATCTGTTTTCAGTGATTTAGGAGGATTATGCAAAACTTACCCTTTTGGGTAACATGAAACTAGGTGGAGAAATAAAGGGTGGGCTTATGAAAAGAACCAATTAATTTTTGGTACTGATCTGTCCCTGTTTTTTAAAATTGGAAAACTTTGAAGCAAATATAATCAAATATAATTTGATTATGTTTGCATGTTTGAAATAAATTATATCTATCTATCTAAAAAAAAAAGATGAGTTTTCTTTTTCTCTGTCCTCTTTTATTGCATATATTTTCCTTAAGCAAATGCTGATGAAACAGACTGATAGAGGTTGGACGTAGTTCAAAGGCATCATACACAGTAACCTACCTCCAGTACTTGTTTATCCTTGCAGATCTTTTAGTACGTTAAAACTATATAGAAAACCAAAAGACTAAATATGTATATTTCAGTAATGAGGATATTTGTGCACAATTAAATACTTTATAATTATGTAAAAAAAAAAAAAAAAGCCAAATGAACATAAATACCTGTGGATCGTCTTGACTTGTTACCATCTCCAAAGTCTCATCCAAATTTCCAGAATTCTTTGTTTTTTTTCTGAATAAAAGGGTTTTACATTATTAAAGTCAAGTGTAAATGCATCTATTTAAAAAAACGAAAATATAATAAAAATAAGTGTCGTACCTTGAACATTTTTTAATCAAACAGCAAACAACTGCAGAAAGAACTACTCCAATCAAAAAGGCAATGATGATTTCTAAATATCCCACGTTCAAAACCGATGAGTCAGCTGTACTCAAATGGAACAACATGAAAAAGGTAATTTCAAAGATGCTTTCAATTATATACAGTCCAATTAATTGATTTTCTAATGTTTTTATAAATGCAAAGGTCTCACTTATGAAAATTAGAATACATACCCACTGTATCGGAGACACTTCGGATCATTAGATTTTTTTTTGCTTCTCCCTTTTCATTGTTGCTCACACATTCAACAGTGCTGTTGCCATGGTTTTTTACCTTTAGACTGACAGTGCTGTTGACTGTGTGGTTTGACACAGTCGTTTTGATAGCGTACTCTTTGTGGTTTCCTAGGAGCGGCCATTTGATGGTAGGTAAAGGAAACCCTTCACTGATACACACACAGGTCAAAACCTCTGCTTGAAGCACACATTCAGAGACATCCTGGATCTTTGAAAACCCTGAAAACACATGACCAGAAATATAAACAAGGTAAGGTATGATTTTAAGTGTAAATATGAACTTCACATCAAACAACCGTACTATCTACTTACAAGACACAATCACACTGACAGATGATGTTACAGTTGTGTCTGGATGTGTTGCTGTGCAGGTGTACTGTCCCGAATCTTCTGCTGTCACAT